CTCGTGGCACTGCTAAGAGCGGTGCTAGACACGCTCCAAGGCTGCAGCCGGTAAGGCGCAGGCCAAGAGCACTAAGCTCACGGCAAAGGCTCTGCACTCAAGGAGGCTACTCAGGTGGCCTCCGAGGCGATCGGATCCTCGGGTGACGCGGCTGCGGACAAGCGCGCAAGCAGGCGCCGCAGTCCGTCGCCCTCGTCTTCAGACAATCGTCCGAACCCTCGGTTCGTAGAACATGAGTTCAACTCGAGCAGTGAGGACGATGTCGAGTCCGAGAGCACTCATGATGCTCCTGCGGGCTCTGTGGGAGGGCACAGCCCAGTGCCCAGTGAGCACAAAGAAGACAGCGTGCAGTCGTCCGCTAGTGATCACGGTGATCACAGTCCCAGGACCTCTGTGCGCTCTGAGAGTCCGGCCGTTAAGGCTAAGGGCACACCCAAAGCCGGTGGCGATGAGGAAGGGAGTCCTCGCAAACGTCTCTCGCTTGCCGAGGGTCTTGCGCGCGCTAAGGCCTCTAAAGCCGAAGGCGCCAAGCCCTCAAAGAAGCGTACTGCCTCTCAGTCTCCACTCCGCGAGGAGAAGGAGACTCGACGCTCCTATCAGAGTCTCTTCGACTCCTCGGATGAAGAGGAGGAGAAGGAGGAAGAAGAGGAAGAGGAGGGTGCCATTGTTGAGCCCCGGGAGGTCTCGAATGACCTCGACCAGCAGCAGGAGGATTTCCAAGCTGCCCAGCGTGTGCGTGGGGGTTCGGTGGCGGCACCCGTCAGCCAGGGAGCTGCCATCAACTCAAGAGGGTATTGGCCTCCCGAGGAGAGCTCTGGGGCTGACCTCTTCTTAGAGCTTCTCGTCGCTCCTCGTGGCCTTGTGGGCGGCCACACTTCTAGGGGCATCTATGAACGAGCCCTTGTTCAGAAAGAACAGTTGTTCGTCGACAACGTGGAGGCTGCTCGGTGTGTGCTTCTCGCGCCACACCGCATTCCCCTTAAGGACTTCACGACTTGTCGTAAGAAGCCCGAGACCCGGGGTGGTCTCTATCCTGTTTGGGGATACCCCTGGGTTATGCCCGAGAACTGTCCCACATGGAGTTCTTGTGAGGACATGTTCTGGGCGTGGGTGGAGACTCTCAAGTACTCGCCCACGGAGTTATGGGAACTCCATGAAGATCAGCAGCTGTCCCACATCCTGGACCAGCGTGATCTTCGTGTGAGGTTTGCCCACTTGATCAGCAAGCGTATGCTGCCAAGGGACATCACGATGTGACCAAGGATGTTCTGCGGCTGTTGACGCTTTGGTTCACGCAAGGAAATCGTAGCGATGTGCACATGGCTATGGTCGAGGGTTTCCAGGAGGCGTCAGTTGACACGTGGCTGGATGTGATCCCGCAGCTTATTGCGCGTATCGATACGCCGAACCCGAAGACCAGCGAACTGCTGCATGACCTACTCTCTCGAATTGGACAAGCCCATCCTCAGGCTTTGATTTATCCCATTACGGTGGCGTCCAAGGCGCTGAACCCGACGCGGAAGCACGCGGCAGAAGGAATCCTTGCTGCTGTACGTCGACATAGCTCCCAGCTCGTGTACGAAGCTGACATGGTGTCGCGTGAGCTCATTCGCGTGGCTATTCTGTGGAACGAACTGTGGCATGGCGCTCTCGAGGAAGCGTCGAAGCATTTCTTCAACAATCGTGATGTGACTGCTATGATTGCTGAGCTGGCTCCGCTTCACGAGCAGATGGATAAGATCGGCACAGAGGAGTCGCCTACGCTTCG